GAAACAAAAAAACATAACATTTGGGAAGACCAAGACAACTTTTCACCCATCTCTATGGGGTGAAAGCCTAATATACTTCCCAATCAATGATAATGACTCGGCCTCAGCTTAATTTTTGAAAAGCAAAGGCATAGTATTACACAAGTCATAACAGAGTAAGCCCTGAATGCAGCCAGCCACGCCATCATCCAAGTCCAGTTACATAACTAGCAACTAAAAAAAAAAAGAGCGATCAATAACTAGGAACTAAAGGTATTCTTCTTTTTATGTTTTTAATGAAATAAAAAGCAAGAATACGGTCTGGGCCAAACACACCAGTTCAATTTGTTTCTCTTACTAGTCCATTTTTATAGAGAGTCTCTTACGGACTGTGGTGGGACATCAGTAGGGCCAGAAATAAGCGTGAGGATGTAACTTATGACTTCCGATAGACTGGCTTTCTTATCTCTATCTCTATCTCTATCTCTATCTCTATCTCTACTATTCTAAAAGGACCAATGAATCTGTAAAATTATGTTTTGCCTAAATTAACCTTACTTCACCAAATTAATTTTTTAATTTATTATAATATTAATAATACAGTCCTAATTTTGATAATACAGTCTTAAACCTAATTATCTGTCCCAAAATCCTACACAAAGCTACATTACCGGTATAGCGACATTACCGAATTATATCTGCCCCCAAATTCCTTCACAAAGCGACATTCCTTAAACCTCCGTCGATCAACCAGCAACATTCCTTGAGAAAGCTCCGTCGATCAACCACGAAATCTTACCGAATTATCTGCCCCTAAATTCCTTCACGAAGAGACATTCCTTCACAAAGCTCCGTCGATCAACCAACGACATTCCTTGAGAAAGCTCCGTCAATCAACCACGAAATCCGAAAGCCGTAGACTCCCATAGGTAGGACTTCATTATCTGCTAAATGTCTTATGCTAATTTGTCCTTCGGTTTGAACTTTTAATGGCTTGGCGTACCATGATTTGTGTGTTTTCAAATTCATCCTCATAATAAAATTTGCGGGCTTGGGTGTCAAGGATTTGTATGATAATCAAATTGTTTCAGTAATTGACATTGAGCTATTTGGTTGCTTCGTTATGAGTATTTCTATTTGAGATTATTGTTCTTCAAAAAAAGGTACAATAGTGTGGGCGTGTATGTTCTTATTTATGATTAAGAAGTGGTATAAAGAGATGCTACTTTTTAGCTAGAAGGTCATTCTTCTGAAAAGTTTGTAAAATTATTATGCTGATGCTACTTTTTATTGTTTAACTTCATCTGTTAAGTTCTGTTGTGTGGATATGGAGGGACTGTGTAAAGACAAGTTTTAAGTTCTGTCCATTATTTTATACATCTTGGTTATCGGATATCAAATTCTTAAATCTCGAAGTGCTTTGTTTTGAACAAGAATAATATATTTCATTTATTGTGATTGATATGTAGCAGCTCTATTTTAGTTCTTTAGAATCAATAAAATCTCATTAGTCCATTTTTCTGCCAAATACTGTTATACCCCGAGGCCAGGTCGTCAATAAAAGAACGAAAAAGCAATTAAGAACAACAGTCTGAATTTCGGCTTAGCTCTTTTAGTCTTGATAGGAAGTGCTCAAATTTTCAGTTCAAAATGCTTGGTACTGTATTCACCTCATATTGAAACATTTGGGTTTGCAGCATATTCTTATGGCCTCCAAATATATGCACTTACTGTATGTTGTTGATTATCTAATAAAGGTTGAACTGAAGTATTTTGCTTAAGTTCAAAATTTATCTCATTACAATGAGATGTCTTTTTCTATGCAGCAAGTGAAGGAAATTAATTCGGGTTTCGAGGTATCGATTTCTCACCAGTGAGTTGTTCAATGTTTATTCCCCTTAGCTTGATAATTTTAACTTTTTACTATAGTTAGCATTTATTTTTTTTTTTATTTTTTTTTATGAAGTGTTGATAATCTTAACTTTTTACTATTAGTTAGCCATCAATTTTTTTTCTTTATCAACTACCAAATGAATGTTAAATATTAAGTTCCTGTTTAATTAGTTTCTGTCATGTTGAGATGGACTTTACAGTGGTGAGTTATGATGTTGAAACTGTCTCGAATTTCCTTAGGTAAACATGCCAAAATTAAAAATCAGTACACTTTTTAATCGAAAATTGAATCCAAAACACTCCGCTTTGTTCAGGCACGTACGTGAAAACATATTCCGAGGGATAAATGTAGAAAATGGCATTTTTTAACTACGCCTAATGTGGACTGTTTTCTGTTATTAATTTTTAGTTTTAATTACAATCATAGATATTTCGGAACCGATTTACAATCATACATATTGTTGGGAGTATTTATTGCCTGGGAGTATTTATTTACAATCATACATATTGTTGGGATTATTTATTTACAATCAAACAATGTTAATATCAATCATACTTTAATTTTTATAATCTATTTATTTGAATGTACTTTTCCTATATCGATTTTCATGCTAGATTTTATATTAGCCTTCGCTATGGGTTTGTAATGGAAATCTTTCATCAAAAATTGTGTTTCTGGTCATAGTTTTCTTTAAATTGAGACCACAAATTATCTCGACAGCATATTTCTTTACCTTCAGTTCTATTTTAATTCCACTTCTCTTGCTAATTTTAGATTTTATTTTTGCTTTTTAATTAATTTTTTTATTCTTTGGCAAAATGATTTGGTTTTTAAAGGATCTTATCAAGTTGTATCATGAGTGAAAAATCATCAACATTTGATTTGTCAACAGGTAATTAATATATATATATATATATATATATATATATATAATTATATACATATTAATATGCATTTTTTTCATCGATTATATCATATGATAATTAACTAATTGAAAATTCATATTAATTTATTTATGCAAGTTATACACCATAATAAATTAATAGTAAAACATTTTCATTATATTATTTATTTTACATTAATATATATTTTTTTATTTTTTTTAACATTTTTATTCAATTGTATCACAGTGAAGGATGTATATCGACGTCGAAATGCGGCTAAGATGAAAAGAAGATACAACGATTTAGATCCTTATCAGAAGCAAGTGTATTGTGCTAAAAAAAATAAACATCGACTAATACAAAATATATACATATATATACATGTTTTTATGAGATCTAAATGAGTACTATATGTTTCTTTTATACTTCAAGAATTTGTTGTTTTTATTGTTTTTTATATTTTTATATTAGGTTGTCATAATGCATTTTCGTATTCCATATTTGATGTTATTAAAGTTGTAATAGAGTCAATACTTTACTTTTGTATAAAAATATAAATGATGTCTTTGTTGTATATTTGTCATTATGTTTAATTCACCGATAAATATAATTATAAAAATTCCCCTTAATAAAAAAATGAGTATGCTTCAATTTATGAAAAATATATTAACATTTTATTGTTTTCTATTGTATTTAATGTGATTTACTAGAGATATATTATTATTATTACTCTATTATAATTGTACATAAAAAAATAAATTAGGCATTTCATTCATTTATGTGATTTAATAAATAATTAGTATTTGTCATTTTTTAGGTTCAATTATCAAAGGGAATGTATGTTTAGTGGTACATGAGTTGAAAAAAATGCCCAATTGCATACATTGCAGTGCAATGAAATTTCAGTATGAGTGTCCAACATTTTGTTGTGATAATGGGAAAGTCAAACTTGCTCCTATTGAAGTGCCAGATGAATTATATGAATTGTTCACTTCATAGACGGAAGAGGCAAAACAGTTTCGAATAAAAATTCGCCTATTTAACAGTATGTTCTCTTTTACATCATTAGGGGTCAAATTAGATAAAGAACTTGCATTTGCAAGACAAGGAGTCTATACTTTTCGAGCTCAGGGAGTAGTGTATCATGATCTTCCTAGCTTATTACCTAAAGAAGATGGTCCTGGATATTTTCAGTTGTATTTTGAGGAAACAGAACGAGACGTCGAGAATAGGATGGGTATATTTCCAAACTCCTCTTTTTCTAAACCTACGGTTAACAAACTCATTACCGTTTTGGATGTAAATCCATATGCAAAAGTTTTTAGACGATTGAAGGACTATCCATCAATGGATGAAGTTCGACTCCATATCTCAAAGGATGCAAAACTAGACCAACATGTGAATGAAATCGAGTATAATGAAACAATCAGCAGTCTTAAAAAGAAGTGTGTGCGGAAAAATTCAAAAGGAAAGGGAAAGAAGTCATCCTCTCCGATCATCAACATAAAGAAAGAGAAGAGTTGAAGACCATAGTTACTTCTTTAGATCATTTAAATTTAAGAACATTCTTTAGTTAACAATCTTTTGTTACTTTCTTGCTATAGTTCATTTACTTTACATTTTTGAAAAATCGCATCTACTATCTATTTTACCTTAGAAAATTAATAATTTATCCCGACACCACTACATACTTTTTATTAACAGTGAGTTTAAGAAAAAATAGTACCATAAAACACACATCTCCGCGTGAACTAAATTAGAAAAAATTAAATTTCTCCACGTGCATCGCACGTGTCCCTTACTAGTTTTCTTTGAAGTTCCAAAGCTCATTAACCGTATAACGGCCACTCGGGTTACAGTCATTCAGTTCCCACAAAGCCGTAGTAATCGCATTGTGCACGTCATCTCCCCATTCTTCCTTAAGGCCAAGTAGTAGCTCATCATCCTCCTTCAAAATGCCCTAAGTAAAAACACCACAAAAAAATTTAATGCCTAGAGAAATATTAATTTCCTCACCTACTTGGGGAATGAACACATAAGTTGGTAGTTTCAAGAAATTCACAAGTACCTATAAGGTTTGCCGAATTACAAAAACGATAAATTCAAGAATTCACAAGTACCTTAGCTTTCCCATTTTCGTCCACAACGACATTGAATGGGTGCCATTCATGATTTTTAAATTTTTCCTGCCACGAGGAGCAAAGTTCAGCAGCCTTCATCTCAACTTCTTCACTTGAGAGAGAGAAACTTGATTTTGCTAAGCAGGCATCCCTCAAGGCTTCAAAATCTATTTCCCCCATTCTTCTTATCCCAATATGAACATGGCTATTACTCGGCAATCTACTCAAGCCCTGAAATTAATTTAAAAAAGAAAAAAAAGCAACGGATTTGACATGCGAATAAGATTCTATAGCTTCATTTAAGGAAAAAATGCTATTGATAATACAGTTAGCATGCATGGGAGATGTACTGCAGGGTATACCTACTATATAAGTTTTTGCTACAGCCGACAGTTATGAACCCCTTTCGAATGATCACAGGCTAAATCATATTCAACTAAGCATATGACAAAAATCGGCAAACTATACAAAACACAATAGATATCCATACCTCAATCAGTACTTTGCGAGCCTCTTGCAGCTCATCATTACTTTGCCGCTCCTTTGTAACAAGTTGTTGACACAAAGTCATGAGATAATTCTTTTCTTCTCTTTCCTCTTGTAATTGTTCATTTATCTCATCTACCTTCTCAAGACCTTCCTTCTCTCTCTGCACATTATGTTACATATATATACATGTTTTTGTGTGTGTGTGTGTGACAGTGCAAGAGACCAATTAGAGCCACAACTAATTGAAAACAAGTGTATATGCATATATATAAGACACAAAGCAATAGAAAAAGAATAACAAGAATCCAACTCAATGGCCAAAAGAAGCTGATAAATTTAAACATGGTACAATGAAACAGAGCCCTTAGCACAAATCACAAACATAAAGTGCAATCGAATATATACCTTTATTTTCTCCTCTTGCAGCTTTCGTCTCTTACGTTCGACACGTTCCTCACGCTCATTCAGTTTTTGGCTCAAATAATCATGTCGATATTTCTTATTTTCCAACACACTCACTTGTTCCCGTACCCTCTTAATATACTCACGGCTGATTCTTTGCAGCTCGTATGATCCTAAATAACAATAACAAATATGTTAAGCAAATACATGCAGCTGAGTTGATACTAAGCATGCAAATGAAGAAATTTATTCATGGATCATTATCTCACAATTATAGATATAATATATAAATTAAAGAAAATGTAGGTAAGACTGGAAAACAATGAACCTTCACATTGTTCTCTCTCTTGAAGCACCCTACTCAGGGGCACTGTTTTTCCATGGTACTTTATCTGCACCTCATCCAAGTTGTCGATTTTCAAGTTGATTTCACATTGTTTCTCTTTGTTATCATTTCTTTTACAATCCCTTAAACTGCCACTTGAGGCTTTTTCCATCTGAATAACAATAATGAGCGATTAAAGTTCAATGGAAAAAAAAAATGGAGAAAGGAAGTAAAAATCAGTTAATTGACTGTAAATTGATAACCAGAAAGTTAAAAGTGGTATAATATATTAACTATTCAGGAAAAGAAAAATGTCAATAAAAATTAGAACATGTGAAAACACAGTTAGTTGCAGTTGCACTATAAAGAAGATAGCTTTGAGGATAACAAAGGCTTTTAGGACCAAACTAGATACAAAACATGCTTTCATACGAATTTGGCTACAACTATTATCAAATTATTAAAATATTAAGAGTTACTACAAGTCAAAAAAACAAAGAGATCAAACAACACAGAATTTCAAAAAAAATCCTCACCTTCAAAGAAAATCTCAGTTTAAACTCAAACAAATCCTGGGCAGTTTATTATGAATATTTATTATTTGGCCATTTTTAATTTTTATTTTATTATAAATATTTATTATTTTTAAAACTGAAGCTGCTTAAGTGACTCCAACCAATTACTAAGTCATATGGCATATTTGTTTTTCTATTTGTTTTTTGGGTTACTTCATAGATATTTTATTGTTCTCTCAGTTTGTAAGTTATTGTTATTTCAAAAACTTATATGAAATATGGTTTTTAATTTGATTTTGTTAATTGCTTTTTATGTATGATGATACTTCGAGCTCGTTCATTTAATTAGTCGTCAAATTTTGAGTTGATTCGTGTTCGAATAATTTATGACAAACTTTTTAAATATGTTTGATTAACTCAAAATTTGTTCTTTCAAACTCGAAGAAAAATATATATATTTTTAGATGTTTTATTAAAAATATTATGTAAATATATAAATAAATAAATAAATTATATTTAATTAATGTTCGCGAACATTATCGGACGTTTGCAAATGAGCTCGTGTTTGTTCGATTATTAAACGAGCCTAATTTAATGTTCAAACTTAGTTCGACTAACAAACGAAAGAGCTCAACGAACTTTTTTTCGTTAATGTTCGGTTCGTTAACAACCCTAGTCACTACTGACATGGTGCACAGGGTCGTGCTATGGTCGAACTTGACCTTGTCTCGAGGTCTAACCCGACCTCATCCTGAGGTCTAACATGTCATCAGACCGTACGACCTTGATACCTCGAGGTCAGTTGTTTGGTCGAGTTCTTGTAGGTCGACATCTATAGGTCGTATCTCTTCAGGTCGATCGGTATCTTAAGCCCACATGCGAACAACTTGACCGAGTGTCTTACTCCTGTACATGCGAGAGTTCTTCTTATCTCGGCCAAATCGAGCTACCTGCTCAAGCGAGTCTGCTGAGCTATTCTCACATCTCAACTTAAATCTCCATCCACTCACTCACAATGATAATTGTTGTTTATATTGAGTACAAAATGACCAGAGCAAAATTTACAGCCTAAGTTAAATATCTAATTTAATACAACTAGAACATCAATTCTGTCAACACATAAATTGTGGATGTAAAAAAAAATGTAAGTTGGTGGAAACTTTGTTACCTCTTGGNTCCTGCTTTCCCATTATTGAGTTAAAACATACCAAACATCACATGAACCAAGTTTATGGTGTAAATATGCAGATCAAGAGTAGGAGTAGAATGGGGAGTAGAAGGAAGAGTAATTTCCACCTGCTTCATAACCCCCCATCTCATCTTCCCAATCATCATACATGTTGATCATATCTCTCTTCGGCTCCACCACATCATTGTTCTCCTCATCCCTCAAATGACTCATCACAAACTGCAAACACAACATCACAAAAAACATTCATTGTTATAGAATTTATTCTTCAAATAGAGAATCAAATACCACACACTGTTTTTACTTTTTTTATTAAATCATATGGAGGTCAATACAGACTTAAGAGTAGGAACAAACACCTTCTCAAATTTTCATCCAACTTAAGGGTTGGTCCTAAGCCTAGGTTTTCGATCAGATTCATTGTTAGAAAACAACTAAACTCATATCAAATGAGAGCTTGACAGAGCAACTTGAAACATCAAGAGAAAATTCGAAATGAAGGTCATATGATTTAAAAAACGATTTAGCTCCACATAAATACATATCAACTGCATATACAACTCTAAAGAATCACAAATGTAGATGGAAGAAAGTTACTTACATCATATGCTTCGTAAATTTGATGAAATTGTTCGCCACAGTTGCTTTCTTTGCAGACATCAGGATGATACTGCAATAAAGTAAAATCAAAAAGTCAATTCCACAACTTTAGACATTTATCTTGCAACCTAAGGAAAAACGAGAAGATTCACAATTGAAAATCAAGATTTCTTAATTAGCCCACATAGAATGAAAATAGTCAACGACGCCGGTAGGAAACAGATAAGATGGGAATGAACTATTGAGGGCAAGAAAATCAACAATAAACTAAAGTAATACAGAAAACTGAGTTTATATTCAAGATTTTTAGCTCATTAAGCGAATTATGTTTTCTTTTACATTTAGATTCAATATTTTAATGACATGTCAAGGTTGAAAAACTAGATCTGAAGAGATCAAAGCCCTGTAAATAGGAACAATTCCACACCACATTTATATTAATAAAGAACCATTCATGAAATAATGGAAAATGGAAATACTATTTTCACTAAATCACAAAAAGATTGATCCTTTTTCATGTTGAAAAATGAATCGAGAGAAAAAAAGAAAGAAAATTATAGAACAACTAGATCTGCAGCTATCAAAATTATAGAACAAATAGATCTGCAGCTATCAAATCCCTACAAATCCAAGAATCTTTCAAATAACCAATTTATATAATGGAAACCCCATTTCATTAAATTAAAAGGTTCCTATGACAAACCATCTAAAGATTGCTTCTTTTTTTAAGTAGAAAAAACGATGAAAAAAGAACAAATGAAAAATACCTGAAGAGCAAGCTTCCTAAAAGCTTTCTTGACCTCAGATTCAGATGCACCAGGACGAATTCTCAGAGTATTGTACGAATCGCTTACGGTAGAAGACACACAGCTAATCTTAAATCCATTCTTATTTCTACAGTTTCTATTCCCCAAATTAATTCTGTCCTTAATCTGAGCCCAAGAACCCGATACAGACCCACAACCCACAGCAGCAGACATCTTTCTTTTTTTGAATCCTCAAAAAACCAAGCAGAGTTATCCAAACGCAAATCCCACAATCAAGAATGAAAAAAAAATCACGCAAGAAGTTCAAGAATCTGAAATCGCACAAATGTAGTGAGAGAATAATAATGTATCACCTAACCCAATAATTGAAATCTGAAACTATTGATACGAAATGACGCTAACGCAATAAAAGAAATAAAGGCTTGTGTTTGTTGAATACAGAGTTGCATTTGATTTGAATATATAGAGAAAGGGAGATGATAATGTGGGGTTGGAAAAGGGTCCTTATCCGAAAAGGGCTTGTTGTGACTTGTTGTTGTGGTTGACACGTGTCTTCTTTCCTTTGTGATCTTATCCGCCCCTGCCTGTGGTCCGAGTCAGACTGAGTCATTCATTTGGGTTTGGGGAATCTATTCTTGGCTTTTTAAAGGATATGCTCTAATTTTTTATTTTATTTTACTATTTTTTTTTATTTTTTATTTATTTTTTTTTTTTGTTGTGATATTATTTGTTTCTTAATTGCTATAGTTTAGGGCACATTTGTCACACATGGTAGGAGTAGTTTAAATAAAGATGGATTCTTTTGGAATCATTTGTTTTTATGTTATGATATTATCTTTGCGTGTATGGTAAAGATAATACGAAGACCGAAAATCTCTTATGTGCGACTAAAATTATGTTTTCTTTTTACGAATAAAACTTTCCATTAAATAGATTACGAAATTAGGAAGAGTAGTTCAAAGAACACAAAATCATTAAAAAAGCAATAGTACTTATTAAATGGTAGTTAAAGCAAATAAGAAATTTTATAATCAATCAATCAATCTCGGGAATTATATGTTCCCTTCAGAAAATAATGAAAAAAAACATTAAAAGGTTGTGTGTGTGTTTTATCCAATTTTACGCAAGGATCGGGATTGTACTTTGAACCACAATGCCATCAACTAACCGGTGTTTGATTTAGAGGCTTTTTAGAATCTAATTTCACATATAGTATTTGAGTAATTTTCAAACACAAACTTCGTATACTCTTCCTTACAAAAAAAATAAAATTAGCAAATTTGTAATTCGTATAATATTTAATTCAATTCTATGCCAACTTATAAAATAGTGTGTTTAAAATATCAATTCAACACAATTCGAAAATGAATGGAGTGTCCACGCTCAACAATATTGGTCTTGGCTTAAGGATTAAGCAATTTATTATCGTAACACTTATTGTCTTCTTCAATTCGGGGTCTAACAACAAGTTATTCAATAGTCATATCATTTTCTTATGCAATAAATAAATATGGTGCAAGATGATTGAAGCTCTTGCACTTAGCTGATCACAGTCTTTTTTTTTTTTTCGATAAAAAAAACCGGCTTACAAGAAATTTTTTGGCCCGAGCGACTTTGATTTTGTATTTTTTATTCAAGGACTCGTAGAGCTCCTTCGCTGTTTTGATTGAACTGCACTCATTGTACAACGTATCAGCCAAACAATTCATCACATAATTTCTACACAAAAAATCTGAGTGGTTGCATGATTCAAGCACACTAACAGCTTGAATATTTTTAATTTTTCCTAACTTTGAAGAATTTTCCTCCAAGAACCTCGACGTAGTGAGATAAAACATCTTTTGCTGCCAACACTTTAAATTAAAGCCGTTATTATTATTATTATTATTATTATTATTATTATTATTATTATTATTATTATTATTTTCTTTTATTATTATTTTTTTTTGGTTTATCAGCGTGATTTACCGAAACATTTATAGAAGGGGAAAGATAAATTGTAGTAGCAGCGGTAGCACCGGTATTTGCAGCAACACAAATTTTATTTTGTTCACCAGCGATCTCTAATCGACATGTTTTAACATTGTAGGAAATATTATTGGGATTAAAAAAATTAAGTTTGTTGATTGGTCAGAAAAAGTGTGTATTTTATATATTTATTAGCGTACTTTTATATGCTTAATTTTATCCACACGTTTATATTTTTTGACTTATTTATTATTTGGATAGATTTATTTGTTTTGATGTTTTATGTGTTATTTTTCAGTATATTGGGGTATGTTTGTGGATGCGAAACATTGGATGAAAATTCACATGAGCAATTATCGGGCGTCCAATACAAGACTAATCAAAGACCAAGTGCATAAATAAAATTGACGTGGGCAGAATAAAGCCCAAATTCACAAATGAATTGGACTTCTTTTTTCTCTTTTTTCTTTTCTTTATTATGTTAGAGTAGATTTTATTTCTAGTTCCGGGAATGTCGAACCCTACGACTTGACGATATTTGATCAATTTCGTGGTTGATAATTTAATTATCTTTTTGAAATTGTTTGTGTTATTTTGACTGAGCAACCATGATGTGTTTGATTTTATTTAGATTGATCACCTAGATAAGATTTTTCATGTCTAACGCTAGAATTGGACTTGCAATCCGTAATTGTTGTTGAGTTTAATTCGTAAGAGCAACCGGAAGCTGATAACTACAGGGGATAACACGGCCTATTTAAGTGAACCATTCGGTTGGATTCACTACTTAGTCTAGTCTATTTTTCAAGATCTTAAAGTGGCTATTGTATTTAATATAGATAGCGTGTTCTAAACTGCACAAGAAATCAGGTTTAATCGTAGAGATTCTCGCTGTTAAATTAAAAGTAAGGAAAAAATTTGAGTAGCAGAGCGTGTTGTTACTTAGGGCTAGTAATTCTATAAGAAAACGAAGTTTGATACTAGAATTAATTAGATGAGTCGGTTGAGGGTGTAGGCGGAACCGTAAATTAGAATTTCTCTTAATTAATTTAATTTAATTTTTTATTTTATTTGTTTCATTAGAGTTTTAATTAGTTTAGTCATTAAATATCAAAACTCCCCTCTTTTATTGCTTTTTATAATTTCAATTAATACGAGAAAATTCACAATTTGATTCACACTCCTCGTGGGATCGACCCTTGCTCGCCACTACTGCTAGTTGGTAGATTTTTGTTAAGGAAAAATATAAATTTTAATTTGCCGTGTTGCAACACGCGGTCAATTGCTAAATAATAGAATATCGAGGCCTGTGAGAACACAGTATTCTTAAACATATTTGCCCCGTATGAACGTCTGTTTTCAGGTTACAACGACAAAACCAAATATAGTCCGACGAACTTAAATTATGTCTAGACTAAAGCACTATAACAAAAATAAGGATAAAGACTTAATTCGAAACAAATATACAAATTTAAGAAACTACAGGCCACTTCCACCCGGAAGAATGAGAGGATCACTCAAAGTGTCCTAAACAAATACAACATAGAATCAAAATACAAGGAAGAACACCAGAAACTTCGCATAGATTGAGCTATAAGACCTTGTTTCCAAGAGCTATTCCTTGGGCTCTGCACCCGGCCTAGCCGTCCACTCATAAGAACAACCAAAGTGCTAAACAAAATAAAGAAAACTAACCAAAACCAAGATAAAAAAGAAAAGGGAAATAAAAGAGGCAGAAACATAGAAGATCTATAAAATACTACTCAAACAGAAAGACTAGAACAGCTGCTGCCCCTCTTAATCAAGTTGCACATTCCCCATGTTGGAAAAATCTTGCCAATCCCGCATTGCTTGATCCACAATGGCTTTCTCATCCCTCCAAGTATCCTGAAAGACCCAAAGATTTCTGTTTTTCCAAATGCCCCAGAGAATATAGACAGTAATCTCAATTCTTTTAGTGGTTGTGCTAGAAGGTGTAATTGAACAAATCTTGGACCACCACTCTTTGAAATTGCGTGAAAGAGAATGAATTCCATCCCAGTTGACTGGAGATAATTTCCAGACTTTAGCAACTTTGGCGCAATGAAAGAACAAATGCTCCATGCATTCAACATCTTCCCCACAAGCTTTACAAATAGTGTCTATTTTGAGCCCTTTCTTTTCCAAGTTAAAGCTACAAGGCAGGATGTTATTAAAGCAACCCCACAGAAAATGCTTAATCTTCCCTTTAATTTTAAGACCCCAACTCCATTTTCTGACAAGTTTGGGCAATGAGTTGTTGCTATTTTCAGGGAGATCAAGACTTAGCCTTTTGTCAGAGATTAGCTTAGAATAAGTAGCTGAGACTGAGAACTTACCATTGGTGCTACAATCCCAAACCAGAGAATCGCCTTCAGAAGGATTTAAACCTGTGATCCCAAGAATAGCCACAGCATCTCTATTTGAGAAAAGAGAAGTGACCAGCTCTTTGTTCCAAAATAGCCCGGAGTCATCAATAAGCTCATGTACCCAAACAAAATCAGAATGGCCGGAGAGAGGTTTAATAGGTCTGAAGCTTGGGATTCTTGGGACCCAAGGGTGGTCCCAGATTTTGATAGAAGTCCCATTCCTGACTTGAAATCTAGCTCCGACTTGAAAAGAATCCAAGACCTCCAACCAACTATTCCACATCCATGACCCCTGACTTTGTTTTTTTTTTTTTTTTTTTTGTCGAGAAGATGTCCCCATTTGGGAAGTATTTAGCTTTCAAGACTTTGCCTACAGGAGAGTGAGAATTGACAGAGTTTCCAAATTTGCTTAGCAATGAGAGCATGATTCATGAGTTGTAGATCCAAAAACCTAAGGCCTCCAAACTTTTTTGGCAGGGTGAGATGCTTCCATGATTTCCAATGAATGGGTTTGCTATTGTCTTTCTTCTTTTTCCACCAGAAGGTTGCCATAGATTGAGATAGAGTTTTATGCACCTTTTTTGGAAGTAGAAAGCAGGACATAGCATGTATGGGCAAGGCCGCAAGGACCGATTTGAGTAGCACTTCCTTCCCAGCAAATGAGAGAAATTTGTTTTTCCAGTTTGAGAGTTTCTTTTTCATTGAGTCTTGGACAAAGTTAAATGTTTCGGCTTTAGATCTTCAAATACCAAGTGGTAGACCAAGATACCTAGAAGAAGAGTGAACTGTTATTCCCATCAGAGTGGAGCATATAGCCTGCTTGGTAGATGGAGGAGGTTTCTACTGAAAGTGATTGTAGACTTATGGAGATTAACAAGCTGTCCAGTGATGACCCTGTATTTATGATGGATATCCAGAATAAGCCGAGCATGATGAATGTCTGCTTTAGCAAATTGAAGTGTGTCGTCTGCAAAGAATAGATGAATGAGCATGGGTTCGAGTCTGGCAGTTCTGATTTCAGAGTAGTTTCCTCTCTGGACTTCTTGCTTCAACAAGTAGGAAAAAATTTCTGAAATCAGGATAAAAAGGTAGGGGGATAAGGGGTCACCCTGTCTTATCCGCCTTGAAGACTTAACGTCAACATTGCCATTCACATTGAAAGAAAAGGAGGGTGAAGATATGCAAGCCATAATCCATTGAACAAAGGATAGATGAAAACCCCATTTAATCAAGATTAATCTCACACTCTCCCACTCTACTGTGTCGAAGGCTTTAGCCATATCTAGCTTGATAGCCATAAAGCCATGAAATCAGGATTTCTTATTTTTTATTTGTTTTCTTCCTTTCGCGTGTCTATCTCCTCAAAGAAGACCACACTATTTATAGGCCTAAGATAAGATACTTAAGTTAGCTAATGCACTTAATTAAAAAATTAATAAAGTTATGTTTAATATTTATGTTACAACATTAAGAAAAAAAAGTTACAAGATTGGAAGACACGGTTTCAGAATCAATTATCCTAGGTCAAATTTCATTCATTAAGTTTGTACAACAAGTCTTTAAGAGGTTCTTGTAAGTCGGTTCTGGGCAAACATTGTGCATTTGTAGGAGATGTTATCAATGGGCTTGTAGAGCCAAAGCTATTGTGGCCACAGGCCAATCGTGTGGCTCTTTGGTGCCTTGTCTAAGAGTTTAACAAAAGGAGGTTGAGCCTAATCGTATTCAACCCATTACACATTCTCATGGTTTTCAGGCACTCGTGTTTGAAATCGAATTCACTCGGTGAATGGTATATTTTTTTCAATTTATTTCAGTTTAATTTTGTAGTAATTTAAAGTTTATGTTTTAGTTAATTCATAAATTTAAAATTTAGCTAATTTTTTTTGTTTTAACTTGAAGCCAGTGTTGTTGGAAGAGCCCGAGACCTTTTTCGTGATCAATCGGGGTGCTATTCGGGGAACTGATGGGTGTTGTTCGGGACTAACCAAGATCTTTTTGTGACCAAACAGGCATTTCACTACAAACTGGATAGCTCGTGGACATCCTACATACTACGTAGCGGGGTAGGTCATCTGGGGTCAACCTCTGTTAAACGAGTCCGACGATGTTGAGGTGAATGACCATTTAACAGTCTCTCGAGAACATTAATTTGATTTTTGCGATGAAAATTAAATTGCTTCACTTGCATGTTGATCAGTGGCTAAATGATGTCGTTTAGATCTCTGTCAAAAAAGAAGACATGTGTCGCCTTTAAGTATATTCTTACCATTACTAGTACTTATAACAAGTGTTTTAAAATGCGTATAGCGTAATGCGTTGCATTTTGGCCTTTATACTGCGTAGCGTAAATAGCGTTGCGTATTGTGTAAGCTATTTGAGTATAATTTTTTTTATTGAAATATTATAAATATATTTGCATATAATAAAACATGATGGTTGATTACAAAATGCTATATAGCGAGCAATAGCGAGCTATTTAAAGCACTGCTTATAACATAGACAAACTGATCGTCTAGATCGCTCTTACTGATAACGTCTTATAAGTATTTAAAAATATATTAAAAAAATGGATAAGAAAATTATTGCTAATTTTCGTCACTTGAGGTGCACAATTTGTTATAATCTACCAATATCCTCAAAATCAACATTTAACATTTCTATTATTTACAATAAATACAATTCTACTATTTATATTCATAATAATTGTAACAACATTGATAATAAATGTGGTAAGTCCACAATTTCATAAAATTACTAATATTTGCTTTGTAAAATTCCGTGTGACAAGGTTGTTGTATTTTTTTTAAAAAAATTATTAATAAGTCAAACCAAAACATTACAGAAAAAGAGAAGTCCACATATAGAGTGATAACAAAAAGAATAACCAAAAAATATCTTAAAAAAAATAAATGCAGTCAGTAGCAAAGATTATTAAGAAAAATAAATATCTCCCTTGCTGCCCAATAATAAGTTAATAAGTTAATAACAAAAATGAGTAACCCGAGCCCAACGGCTAGTTTGTTTAAACGGTAAATTCCTCCAACGGTCTGATTCCGAAATCTTGAACATCAAAATCTCCTAAAGCCGTCTTCTAAACCCCGCCCTGCTTTCGTCTTTCTCTCTGTCATTCACAGATCTCTTCTCCCTCTCCTCTCTCATTCTCCTTCTCTCCATTTTTTCATTCCACATACTTACTTTTTTTTTTTTCTTTTTATCACATAAAAGAGAAATGATGCAAGAAATGTGGAATGCGCCACCCGGATTCCGGCCCACGAAATCAGCTCCATCTTCTCCGGCCAAGCCTCTTCAGGGAGTTTCACGAACTCGCTCCGAAGCCTTTCATGTCGCCCACAAGGTCCCAGTTGGGGACACCCCTTATGTCCGAGCCAAGAATGTCCAAGTCAGTTTCCAAGATTTTTAATTTTAACCAATTTATCTGATTTTTCCATTTTTTTATTAACGTTATTAAAATTGGTGCTTCTTTTGTTGATTTAGCTGGTGGATAAGGATCCCGAAAGGGCAATACCACTGTTTTGGGCGGCCATTAACGCAGGGGATAGAGTGGATAGTGCTCTCAAAGACATGGCCATCGTTATGAAGCAGCAGAATCGGGCTGAGGAGGCCATCGAGGCCATTAAATCATTACGCAGCAGATGTTCCGATCAAGCCCAGGAATCCCTCGATAACATCCTATTAGACCTTTACAAGGTAAAATAATTTATTTTACATTTCTTCTTCCTAGTTTAAGTTCTGTTGCTGCCTTCTGTAAATAAAGACTGGGCTTTTATTATGTAATTGTGTTTTTTGCACAGAGATGTGGAAGATTGGATGACCAAATCACATTGCTGAGACACAAACTGTACCTAATTCAGCAAGGTATGGCCTTCAATGGCAAGCGCACAAAAACTGCTCGGTCACAAGGGAAAAAGTTTCAGGTGTCTGTCGAGCAAGAAGCCACTCGATTGCTGGTGAGAATAAAAAAATAATAATAAAAAAATTGCAATAATGGAATACTAAAATGTGTAATTTTCTGAAATTGGGAGAAACTGATGATTTTGTTCCATAACTGAAAAACTGCAATTGATCATATGAATTCTTATTTCACCAACAATACTAGAACGAATAAACATTTATTTATGCATTAGTTGTTTGGTTGGTGGTGGGGGTGCAGGGTAACCTAGGGTGGGCGCTGATGCAGCAGAACAACTACATGGAAGCAGAAGAAGCCTACAGGCGGGCCCTACTGCTTGCACCCGATAACAACAAAATGTGCAATCTCGGCATCTGCCTAATGAAGCAGGGAAGGATTGGAGAGGCCAAAGAGACTCTCCGCCGGGTAAGGCCCGCTATGGCAGATGGGCCCAGAGGGGTTGACTCCCATCTCAAGGCCTACGAGCGGGCCCAAGAGATGTTAAAGGACCTCGAGTCCGAGATGATGAGCAAAGGCGGCTGTGACAGAGTCCAGCAGAGAAAACTTTTCGATGCCTTCTTGGGCTCGTCTGCAATTTGGCAGCCCAGGCCCTGCAGGGAGCAGCAGGCCCAACAACAAAACCCTTCTTACATTGTCCCCCCCAGTCATGACCCTTTTGCCGACGAGAATGTCAATTCAAATGTCGTCCCGAATTTTACGGCGGCAAAAACAACAGGTGGAGGAGGGGGTATTTTGGTAAATCAGCTGAACATTGACGCTCAGCCGTTTTACTCGACGAGGTTTGGCGGGGAGAGCCTCAAGAGGACGAGGTCGGGGAATCACGTGGTGGTGGGCCCGGGAAAGAAAGAATCCATTAACGAGACGGGAAAGAGTTGTTGGGATGATTTGTTGCCGGACAGTAAGGACTTTGAGGAGGCAATAATTGCGGCTGTGTTGGGTACTAACGGGAGCGAAACTACTACTAAATGTGCCGGTGAGAAAAGGTCTGATGAGTGTGGAATAGTCATACCTCAGAGGAAGGTGGAGAAGAGGCTGAGAGTTTTTCAGGACATTACGCCGTCCTTGAGCCCGAGGGCTTGATGATGATGATGGTCATGATGCTAGCTGGCGGCATAACCTTTTTTTTTATATATATAAAAAAACTAATTTTATGTTTTATTAATAAATCTTTGTTAATTTAAGTTGATGGGAGATTCTTTGGGGTTGGAGATAAACTTGTTCTCCTCGAGTTTCAATTCTTGTAGTGTTTTTAATTTAAGGGGTAATGCATCATGATGGTAGCTTCAGGGGAAAATTGTAATCCATTTTTTGGAGGTTTGAATAACTTAATTTTATTTATGTTCCATTTTTGTACAACTTTCACATGATCTTGATTTATGTTCTGATCTATTTATGAAAAGATCAGGTTACAGTTATTTTAGTTATAGAATGTATTGTTTTATGCAACATCTCAACAATAGATTGATGATTCTCAGCTGATCGATCGATCTTGTACTTCCAAAATTTTCTAATTTACAAGATTCTCTGAATTTGGTCAGCTTCTTAGACTTGACTTCTATGATCCCTTGACATATATATATCTATGGATCGTCACTATTTTTTTCTTCTCATTTTTCTTTGTTTGCTTATTCTTTTTCAGAGCACTTATTGACATCCCAAAATGAATTTGTTTGGCAGTTTTCATTGTACAAGTAAAACTAGAAAACCATCAAAACAAACTAGCAACATAGGAACTTTGTCACCACCGTTTCTACTACAGGCATACTCAATCCCATCAAAAGCAGTCGAGTTACGGTGAAACTAACCGGAATATTCTTTCCTATACACCTTGTAAAGACACCATTTCCCCTTTTGTACGTTTTATTATAACCGATGACCCAAAATAACCTCGTGCGGTAGACCAGGAAAAACACGAGTCAGCCGCCGGAAATCGTCACTAGTGGACGCGACCTTCTCACCAAACTCTTTCACCCCATAATAATCTTCTTCGCCCAAACCACATAGAAACGGATGTCGCAAAAGCGACTCCGCAGTCCCTCTACAATCTACGTCCAACTCAAAACAACACTCCAAAAAGTCCCTCGCGAAAAACGATATCTCCCCCGAAGGAATATACGGCATCCGTTCTTCCCTTATCTTCGCAAGAATTTCCTTTCCCTTCCCACTCCACGGCGCCTTCCCAGTCAGCATCACAAGCACGATGCACCCCAAAGCCCAAACATCACTCGGCGCCTCTTGCAGGTTACGCGTCACAGCCTCGTGCGACAGATACAGAGTCGTACCCCTCGCGTACGGAACAGAACCCTTCTTCTTCGCCAGACCAAAGTCTCCAATTTTCGCCCTCAACTGATTTTCACCGGAACAAGACACTAGCAGAATATTTTCCGGCTTCAGATCACAGTGCACGTACCCGAGCGCGTGAACGCGTTCCAGACCTCTCAGAATGGACCTCGTGTGCATCTTTGCCTCGATTACGGGCAATTTTCTGGCGTGCGACGTGCGAATCCTGTCGAGTATGGTGCCGCCGGACGCGTACTCGAGCAAGAGATTGTAACTCGGCAAGCCGTCGTGACAACTCATGGTGGTCTCGTTGCCGAGGCATTGGATTACGTAAGGGAAGCCGATGAAGTTGCTCAATATCTCCTTCTCGGCTTGAAGGGTGTTGGAAAGGGAAAATTTGGCGGATTTCACGGCTAGCTTGGCGGGGAAAGGGCGGCCGTCTTTTGTTTTGGAATATGGGAGTCTCGGAATAGCCTTGTAGACGCGGCCGCAGCCCCCTTTTCCCAGTAAAGGACCTCTTATCCATGCAACGCTTTCTCCGTAGTCGTGAATCGCAGCCTTTTTTTCTCCGCTTATTATCGTCATTAAGTAACAGTGTACGCGAATCCTTCTGACTTTCGTGAAATTTGGAAAAGATAGAAAAGTGATGGTGACGAGTTAACGGAAAACTTAAATTTTTTCCAAATCCTTCTTGGTTTAGGAGAAAGTCAACAATATTTACGTGGGTGATAGAAGAAATAATAATTATTGCCCAGAAATTTCGCTTAAATAATCACATAGTACAAAGTATTAGACGGTTATTTTGACTTATAAAAATGAGCCGCCTTTCTTTAGGTTTAAAATAGTTTTCATCCATTATAATAACTATTCTGACAATAATCTGACCCATATCATATAATATATTTTTTTTGATAAATTTATTTAATTGATAAATAATTTTATCATCTCCCATTAAATATTAACTAGTACGTATCCCGTGCGATACACGGGAGAGAAATATTAAATGAATTATTTTCACAGGCTCTGTCCGTTTAAGTCTGAAAAGGGTTATTATCCATTTTCCACCTATTTTAATCACCGTTAAGTCTCGTTTCAGTCTGAAAAGAGTTATCATCTATTTTCTACATCTTTTAATCACAGTTAAGTCTAAAAAAATAGGGTTGTAATCTATTTTTCACATCTTTTAATCAGCGTTGTTTTATTAGTCAGAACATTAAACATGAGCATGTTAGGGCTAACTTGTAAAATAATTAATATATTATCTCACTAACACATTTATACTAATATAAATTTAATTTTATTATATATATTTATTCGTTGATATAAGAGAAAATAACAATTTTACTTATTCTTATTCACTATATAATAGTTAATTATTAAACTCTGTTGCCATATAATGTCATTATTATTTATAAAGTTATACAAGTTGCACGTCTTCTTGTTCTTTTTATTTTATGTAAAAATATATTTAATGCACGTTAGTATTATTTATATAAGTAATCAATTTAAAATACGTAAATAAATTTAAAATTAAATAGTGTATAAATAATGTACAAAATATACACATATATTTTTTTAGAATTTAATTTTGTATACTAATTAAACAACTTTGATTTAAGAAAAGTCATGAACTCAATATCTTCTAATATCAATATTTTTCTAATTTGCATTAAATGATTATTCTTATTATATATATAGATTAGAATTTTTGTGACACCAACCAAACTAAATATCACAACAACCAAGTAACAATTATGAAAAACTCATAACACAACAACTATCAATTAAATTTGGTAATAGAAAAATTACACACATATATATAAAAATATGAGGATTCTATATTTCTATTAACTGATGTATACACCACGTGTATATTTTATTAAGGTATATTGGAATGTTCAATTTCATAGCATGATAACAATCAGTCTTAAAAAATCGAAAATCTTATTGAAATGCCATATTTTTATGTTAAAAAAAAAGGTTCCTATAAAAAATAATTATATCATAGCAAATTCATTGTGTAATTGAACAAATTTTTATAATGAAGCCCGATTTTCTGTACAAAAATAAAGCAACAACTTCCACATTTTAAGGAAATCAATTAATGTTGGTCCGTTTTTGCTAATAAAATAATAAATAAATAAATTATAATTAATAGAAAATAATTAACGATGAGAGAATTTGACCATATCTGTTTTTAAAAATCGTAACAGGAAAACAAATATTAAATAAAACTGTATAATATGGAAATAGTAATGAAAATAAATGTTGTTGACTTTTCTAGCTACTAAATTTAGTAAATAGGACTCCTTTAATATAAGTATAGATAGATAACTTAATTAGTTTTATTACAATGATAAATATAATTATTATTTTATGCATGCGAATGTCATATAAAATCTCATGTCAAAAGTCTTAAGAGGAGAGAGTTAAGATCCACATGGACTACTTCGAAGCCCATAAATTACACATATGATTACAAGTATGCTCGTCATATATGCTCGGAAACCATTATTACATGATACTAGTTAAAAAAAATTATACTAAATTTCAAAAGAAATGTAACAGATAAATTCTTTTATTTAAATTTCAAAATACTGTGTAAATTTTTTATTCTTAATTGAAGTATTTTGAGACCCGGATCGGACGGGTCGACCCGGAGCCGGAACCGATCCGGGTGGAGTATTTGGACCGGGCAACCAAGGATCCGGTCAAACCCGGTCAAAACCTAGCCGACCCGGGGCATTGACCCGGTCGGGTCGACCCGGTTGACCCGGTCCACACATATTTTTTATATTTTTTTTATTTTTTTGTTTTTTAAAAATAAAAATATGTATATATGTTTATATGGTAAATATTTATCATGAGATACATATTATTAACACTTTAATATACAAATTTTATACACAAAACATTTAATTTTGTTACTTTTATGTATATTTATATAACAAAAATACTCTATATATAATTTTAAATATTTTGAAATTAATTATTCGGTCAGCAATTGACCCGGTGACCCGAGAACCTGCCCGGGTCAATCACCGGGCCGAGTTTAAAAACTATGCTTAATTGTGATTAAAATGGGGATTTCTATTTGTACGATTTTTTCGTCATATTATAGTATTTTTTTTAATTCATGTGTAATGAATTTATAGATAACTTTTTTAATTGATATATGGTTTTATTATAAAATATATATATATAGATAGATAACTTTGATACTCGTTCTTTACGTAACGAAATTTATCAAGTGAGCATTCATGAGTACTTGATCAAATTTAAAGGGGTTGTTCTCAAGTTAATGTAGTAATTGGACATTTACAAGTTTGAAACTGTCTGCAAGTGTATGACTTCACTAATAGTGAATGGGAAGGTTGTTTGTCAATAGATGACATAATTGAAGTATTATGATATTGTTAGTTTTATTTAGATGATCAATTATGTGATGAGTTAATTAATCTAATAAAATGAAATCAAAACAAAACAAATCAAAGACAAAGAAATACTCAAGTATAAAACTATGGTTCCAATTTTCTATTTTTCAACAATTTTGGAAGATCATTGATGACCAAAATGAAGCCAACCGTGGTGTTTCATTATCTTCCATCGATTACTGCTGATTTATTTTTTCCATTTTTTTGGGTTCTCATGTATTTGAACTTATTCAGTTTTAAAGGATTCTCTTCTCATTTGATTTGTTATTGTTATGAGCTCAATAATTATAATGAAATTTACAGATTCCCTTTGGAGTTCACCTGAATATAATTGAAGGCCTTGACAGCATTGCTATTGATCTTATTCATTCAGAGACAGTGATTCCTCTCTCTCTCTCTCTCTTTCCCGTATTCTGTGAGCACATGACTGAACTATGAGGTTTGAATAATCATATCCAAAAATGCATTCGAATTAGATACAAAATCAACTCATAATGCATGCTGGACTGTTTTGTAGTTGCAATACTTTGCTTTTCAAAGAAAAACTCGGTAAACAGACTTCTCACATACAATTTCCAAAACTGCAAACTGTGATGGAAAAAGATAATATTTATTTATTAACAAACTCTTAAAACTTACATTGCACTCAAAACATTCAGATTCTACACCGCCAACTAGTACACACTAGTTGGCAAAACCCACACTAAGAAAACAGTAAAACAACCAAACACAACAGCAAGCCTTATTTTCATTAAACCACAAACACTCTTTAATTAATCAACTTCCTCAATCTTAGGACCAGCACCAGTAGCCCCACCGCCAGCATTGCCTCCATAGCCACCAGCTCCAGGCATCTCAGCCCCAGATGGCGGCACATCCCCACCTGCATACATCTTCGAAATAATCGGATTACACAGATTCTCCAACTCCTTCAGTTTATCCTCAAACTCCTCCACCTCAGCCAACTGATTCCTATCCAACCACTCAATCGTCTCATCCACAGCCTTCTCGATCGTCTGCTTCTCCGAACCCAACTTAGAACCAATCTTCTCATCCTTCACAGTATTCCTCATGTTGTAAGCATAATTCTCCAGAGCATTCTTCGCCTCAACCTTCTTCTTCACAGCCTCATCCTCAGCCTTGTACCTCTCAGCCTCCTGCACCATCTTCTCTATCTCATCCTTACTCAGCCTCCCTTTATCATTGGTGATGGTAATCTTGTTCTTCACCCCAGCAGTCTTATCCTCAGCCGACACATTCAGAATCCCATTCGCATCAATGTCGAAACACACGTTGATCTGAGGAACTCCCCTTGGTGCTGGAGGGATGCCTTTGAGCTCGAATTTTCCGAGAAGATTATTGTCCTTAGTCATCGGGCGCTCTCCTTCGTACACCTGGATCAATACTCCAGGCTGATTGTCTGCATAGGTCGAGAAAATCTGCTCCTTTTTAGTCGGGACAGTAGTGTTCCTCGGGATCAGGACAGTCATAACGCCGCCAGCTGTCTCGAGTCCAAGGCTGAGAGGGGTGACATCCAATAGAAGTAAGTCTTGAACCTTCGCATCTCCTTCTCCACTCAGAATCGCGGCCTGAACAGCTGCCCCATAGGCCACGGCCTCGTCTGGATTGATGCTCTTGCAGAGTTCCTTCCCATTGAAGAAATCCTGCAAAAGCTGCTGCACTTTGGGAATTCTGGTGGATCCGCCAACAAGAACCACGTCGTGAACTTGGCTCTTGTCAATCTTGGCATCCCTCAGGCATTTCTCGACTGGCTCCATACATTTTCTGAACAGATCCATATTCAGTTCTTCAAATCTGGCCCTTGTGATGGTGGCGTAGAAATCGATCCCTTCGTAAAGTGAGTCGATCTCAATTGTCGTCTGTGTGGTGGAGGATAATGTCCGTTTTGCCCTCTCACAAGCCGTCCTCAGCCGCCTGAGAGCCCTGGCGTTGCCGGAAATGTCCTTCTTGTGCTTCCTTCTGAACTCCGCTGCAAAGTGGTTCACCAGACGGTTGTCGAAATCCTCGCCGCCCAGATGAGTATCTCCGGCAGTGGCCTTCACCTCGAAGATACCTTCCTCAATTGTCAGTAAAGACACATCAAAGGTCCCACCACCGAGATCGAATATCAACACGTTCTTCTCCCCGCTTCTAGAAGCCTTCTTATCAAGGCCGTAAGCAATTGCAGCAGCAGTCGGCTCGTTTATAATCCTCATCACGTTCAGACCAGCAATTGCGCCGGCGTCCTTGGTGGCCTGACGCTGAGAATCGTTGAAATAGGCAGGCACCGTGACAACGGCGTTTTTGATAGTCTGACCTAAAAAGGCCTCGGCGACTTCTTTCATCTTAGTGAGGACCATGGATGAGATCTCCTCTGGAGCGAAGAGCTTGTCCTCGCCCTTGTACTGGACCTGAATCATGGGTTTGTCGCCAGGCCCAGGGACCAGCTTGAAGGGCCAGAGCTTCATGTCGGCCTGTACGGATGGGTCCGAGAAGCGGCGGCCGATGAGGCGCTTGGCGTCGAAGACGGTGTTGACAGGGTTCATGGCGACCTGGTTCTTGGCGGCGTCCCCGATGAGGCGCTCAGTGTCGGTGAAGGCAACGTAGGAAGGTGTGGTCCGGTTGCCCTGGTCGTTGGGGATAATCTCGACTCGGTCGTTCTGCCAGACGCCCACGCAGCTGTAGGTCGTGCCGAGGTCGATGCCGATCGCCTTGCCTTCACTTTTCGCCATAGCTACAGAAGTTGGATTGCTTTATTGAAGTTTGATTGAGCAAGTTTTAAGGGAATGATTTTTTCTTTTTTCTTTTTGGGTTTGTTTATCTGCTGTGATTGTGAAGCAGGGGAAGAAAATGGCTGGTTTATATAGGACTAGGAGTATGGGCTTGAATTGATTGGACATTTCCAGGTTGTTCAGGAGGTGAAGAACAGGTGGAGAAATGTAGAGAAAGGTCAGGAAAATTTTAGAGAGAACCAGAATTTTCTGCGGGAAAAAATGGAGCTTGTGGGGTACACCAGAGGATTCTGGAGAAGGGGAGGAAAGTAATGAAATGGGCTTTCTTTATCAATGGGCTCTGAGAATGGATTTTACTTTACTAGTTGGGTATAATCTTATTTGGGCTCGTTTACTAGCCAATTTAAGATATGATCTAGGGGATATCTCATTATTTACTTTGTTTATACTATTGTACAATATATGTGAACTGCACGGTGTTTGAGCAAAAAATTAATTGTTGAACAAAAAATAAAAAAAAATAAAATTCTTATTGTGAAATAACAATTATAAATAATTAATAATAAAGTAAAAGAATTTGTAACATTATTTTAAATTCTAAAAGATATTTTATATGAAATGTTATTTATTTTATTTAAGATATATTCATTTTTTTTCAAGTTGAATAGAATAATTCATTTATCATACAATTAATCTTGACTCTTTTTCAGTCTTTTTCAGTCATTGGATGATCTGATCTAATGATTATGATGCATTCAAAAATAAAAATATTTATTTTGTTTATAGAATAAAAAATTATGTAATTCCAAAACTATGTATAACATAATACTACTAAATATTTCGAAATTTTGTAGGTAATAGTTGACAATGACCTCCTTTGACCGGCTTAAATGTCTTTTCTTTTTATCTTTTCATTTTCTTACATAAATAAATATAGTGATGTAATACCCGGGCACCAACTGGCTGACATGAGAGAGCAGTATTTCTTTTGCTTTTCTTTGCCATCCTTCTTGGCAAATATATTTTCCTCTAAAAATGGTGATACCATTCCTAACCATCATGGTTTTTTTCCACAACCTCAGCTATTGATGAAGATTTGAATGGAAATAAATTCCAGTTTGCATGTGCACTCATGCATGAATCATGATGAGCTTTTTCACAGACCGAATTGCCATATTTAAACAGTTTCCCGGCTTTCATTTGTCCTCTTAAAGTCTTCTGAGTCTTTAATATAGTTAAAGTCAATCACATGAGACCGACGAACAATCAAGACGAGCTTCTTAGTTGCTGGTTGGAAAGTGAAAGTATACCGACAGCCGAGCATGGAAATGAATTGTTCGATACTTGAGTGTCTTACATCACAGAGTTTTCCACATTTGGAAGGATATGAATGCTAACTTCATGTCCTGTGTCGCCTGCTAACTTGTATCAGAAGACGGAAAAAGAAAATAACCATGATTACAAAAAGGACACCATGTTTGGGACACGATTTTATTGAACTCGTGCTGTAACCTGTTAATAATGATTCGCCTTCGAATCTCGGATTGGCCAAGATTGAACAGGACAAAGTATATTATTTCTGGAAGATAAAGCCATACGACCCACATTATATACTGCAATCACTTCTTGGAAGTTATTTGAAGTGTCCGTGAGATAGTCCCCATCAAGATGAACCACGAAAACCAAAATTCTAGGAGACTATCGCTTTCCATCTACATGATAAAATCACACAGAGGAAAATGCAAAACTTAAAAAGCATTAGAACGAAGGACAAAGTGCAGCAGATCATTTAATCGGCTGGCCAGACTGAATAAAATAAATAATATACTGAGCAAGGTTGCAGAAATCGGATTAATATCTGTAATAAGATGATCAACTTTTAAGAGTCAAATTATCCAGACTAAGTGAATCGGACTCATGATAGACACTGAATCCATGCAAAATGACCAACAAAAGCGTGATGCGCGCTTATGGAAATAACGCAACATTTGTTCCACTATTTCCTAACATAGGAGATGAATCTAATCTAATAACAGCATTTCATTCCACGGAGAACTCAGAACTGATAATGTACACTCCAAATTGACGTGCAGGAAAGGGAAAAATGAAATTAAAATAATCATAAATGTAGAAAAAATATTACAAATAAATATGCCCAGAAAAATAACATTTATATATATATATATTCACTGAAATTCAGACATGTTTCAGTTACACAACAGAGTATATAGCTGGTCAATGAAGAGTTGAATCTACAAACAACAAATCAAAGGACAATCAACTCTATTTCTCACTACACTTCTATACTTGGCTCACCAAAATAAACATTACTGGACTCCAGTTGAGATGGTAAAAGTAGCCCGACAATCTTGCCGTCTTTTAGTTATAACCTGTGGTACACCAGCCTCTACGCCTTCTCTTTCAACAACTTCAGGTTCTTTCTCCCTGGACAAATCAGACCAATAAGAAGACGGCTCCTCATCCCACTCGTCTGCAAAAAACTCTTCACCAATCTCCTCACTTTCATATTCCACCTCTGCAGACTCAATCTCATCCAGACATTCACAACCATCAGACTCTTCCAATGCATTATCCTCGTCATCATCTTCATCATCACTAGCCATGTCTTCAAGAAACGGATGATCTAAAAGCATCTCACAAGTGAACCTATACATCGATTTCCGCACGAGACAACGCTTTATAAAATCCCGAGCATCCTCCGACAACTTATCCGGAATTTTGGGAATTTCATTAGCAGCCTTAATCTTTTCAAGAATTCGATTGGCATTTTTCTCATCCCACGCGGGCTTACCTGTTAACATCTCGAGCACAATACACCCGACAGCCCACACATCAGATGGAGCCTCTTGTATGCTCTCGACCACAGCTTCGGGTGACAGGTAAGTGGGAGTCCCACACCAGTAACAGGGCTCCATAAACTTTCTCTTCCTCGAGTCCCATTTCCCTCTCTTTGCCAAGCCGAAATCACCGATTTTCGCAGTGAACCCTGTGAATTTCCCACCTTTTCCAGCTGTTCTGTGCACGAGTAGTATGTTATCAGGCTTCATATCGCAATGCACGTATCCAGCTGCGTGAATGTGATTCAAGCCTCTAAGAATAGACCTCGTATGTGACCGAACTTCGAGTTCCGGCAACCCTTTGCCGCTCGATTTCTCGATCCTACTGGCTAAGGTCCCGCCAGAGCCATATTCTAACAACAGATTATAAGCCATGATGCCGTTGTCACCCACGGTCGTCTCTTCTCCGAAACACTTAATCAAATACGGACTGGAATTCAAATTGCTCATTACCTCCCTTTCCTTCTGAATTGTGCCCGAACGAGAGATTTCAGCAGACTTGACCGCCATCACGGCCGGGAAGCAGCTGTATTTTGGTCTGGGATTTTTCAGAGTCGCCGTGTAAACCCGCCCAAAACTCCCCTTTCCGATGATTGGACCCCTAATCCATGCAACCCCGTCGCCGTATTCATTCACAGTCTTTTCCCGAACGACGCCGTTTTCCTTTCCCGCCATTGTCTGTTCACGAGCAATGCACGAAGGCGGAAGTGCGGAGTTCGTCTCCTTCGATTTTCTTCAAATTTGGGGCAACGAAGCAAACAGCGCTGGAATTCCCAAACTCGAACGAATACTGAAGAAAAGAGGAAATTCAGAGGATATACTTAGGGTTGAGAAGAGAAAACGAGTGATCGTGAGGTTTTACAGAAAACAATAAAACAGCAGCGTTTGCTTGAGAGGACAATAAAAACTGCGCAAAGACGAAGCAGAAAAATGAGAAGAGCTATTGTGAGTACCAAATATGAACAATAACAGGAATAACTGTCATTTGTCGTCCTCCATGGAACCTGGATTGCTTTGCAGAAAATGGCAACCTAATTCAATTCGACAGAGCTTTGCTCCTCCTTGAGCTCATGTTCTCTGATTTATACTCAATACATGTGTGAAAATGGCAATGAGTTATTTACTCTTATATATAAATTTTACTTTTAATTATTTATCTATTATTATTATTTATTTATTTTTTTGGTTTGAGAAAATGTAATGACTATTAGTATACGACAATTTGGAAGGTTAAGGGGGCGCTTGTTTGTAGAATAATTTGTTCAAAATGAGTTATTTTGGTTAACCATAGTTAATTTTGAAAAAGGGTATATGGTTAGTTGTTAGTTGAATTAAAATTGATTTGATGTAAAAATAGGAGATAAATGATTAAAAATAATTGAAAAGGATAGGTAGTTAAAATTATGTGAGTGGATGAATAGTGAATTAAGGTTGATGTGATGTGTAAGAATGATTGATTTGTATAATTTAATTATATGAATAATATTAAAGATAGTGGGGTTGAGTTAAAATTGAGTTAGATTTTGAGTATGAATTAAATGAGAATGAAATAATTTGTAAACAAGCATGCCCAAGAATTTTGTAAGATAAGTATGCGTTATTTTACTCGAGACGAGTTGAGTTGAATTGCTCGTACTCGAGCTCGTATTCGTTTAATAAATTAGTAGAATTATTTCAATTAGCGAAAACTCGATTTGACTCGCTCAATAAACTTGAAATTTATAATTACTTGCAAACAAATTGAGATAGACAATTATTTTTGGATTAAACTTAAAATTTATGATTACTTGCAAACAAATTGAGATAGACCATTATTTTTGGATTTTGTAAGCTAGCTCGATTAGCTGTTTGAGCTATTAAATAAATGAATAAACCAAACTCTAACTTCCACTATCCGACTAATCGAATGATGTCCACAAACAAGTCGGTCCTAATAACAGGATGACCCAAATTTTAAGGTAATTAAGTTTATAATATTTACAAGCATATTAAAACTTATTTTAGAATCGCTTTTCTATGTGTATCTTTTTACTTTGTTACTGCTAGATGAAAGAAGACTAAATATTTTTATTCTATTTTCTGCTTACTTCCCAATATTACTTTGTGACGTGTGGATCATCAACATATTTGATTAGGAAAATAATCTAACTAATAAATGGACTTTATGCTGAAGTACGTAGCTGAAAATTTTTATAAGCTAAACATAATTGGTCATTATTCCATATGTATCAACAACACTACATCAACTAATGATCAGAGTACAGATCTATCAGCAACAACCGAATATGGATGAATCTAATTAACACTTCCTCTAGCTATCATCTCCAGTAAGTACTGTCCTAACTATTTTCAATTCACAAGTAACCTCATAAACTTCACTGCAGGACCATTAATACTCTGACCAACCGCATAGTGTCGTCCGTATCTCGAGGGCACCTCCTTTCCAACAGAAGAACAGCACGAGGGCTCGTCGTTCGAATCCAAATCCAAATCCAAATCCGAATCAAACGAGCCAATATTGTCGCAGCTTAACTCGTCGTCCACATCACTCTCGAACTCAAAATCATCATCACTACCCAACCCATCCAGAAACGGGTGCTCCAAAAGCAGGTCGGCCGTCAACCGGTACACGGCCTTCCTCTCGAAACAGCACCTCAGAAAATGCCGCGCGTCCTTCGACACCTTCTTGGGAATTTTTGGAATTTCCGACTTCGTCCGTATCTTTTCGAGAATCTCCTCATTGTCCCTCCCTTCCCACGGCACCTTCCCAGTCAGCAACCTCAGCACCACACATCCGAGCGCCCAAATATCGGACACCGCCTCTTGCTCGCTGCCCATCACGGCTTCAGGGGACAGATACATAGGGGTTCCCCGCCAGCGAATATTATCCTCCCCTAATTTCCTCTTCTTGCACTTGGACCATTTTGCCCTTTTGGCCAGCCCGAAATCTCCGATCTTTGCCTTGAACTCGGTTTGACCGGTCAAACTTTTTCTGGGTCGAGGCACGAGTAGAATATTGTCGGGCTTTATATCGCAGTGGACGTATCCCGACATGTGGATGTGATTTAGGCCTCTGAGGAGGGATCGCGTGTGCATCTTTACCTGGAGCTCCGGCATCCCGTCGCCGCCGAATTTGTTCATCCGGTCGCCTAGGGTTCCGCCGTCGGCGTACTCCAGAAGCAGATTGTACCCCATCTTGCCGCCTTCTCCCTGAGTCAACTCGTCGCCAAAGCACTGGATCAGCTGGGGACACGGGCCTAACTCGGTCATGATCTGCTTCTCGATCTGGAGAGTGTCGGAATAAGAAACGTCGGCCGACTTCACAGCCATCTCCGGCGGCAAGCAGCTGTACTCAGAGCGGCCGTCCTTGAGAGTCGCCTTGTACACGCGCGCGGAAGCCCCTTTTCCTAAGAGCGGGCCTCGGGCCCACGAAACTCCGTGTCCGAATTCGTTTTCAGGAGGTAGCACTAGCTCGTCGTCTATTTTCATCGCCATCTTCTAGCTCTGCTTCGCCAAACGCAGAAAATAAAACAAAGGATTGATATCGTTGAGTGATTATACGCAGAAAAAAGAAATAATTACTTTCAGGATGTGTGGTGAACACGAAATTAATAAGCTAATTGGTGAGATAAATGGGGTTTCTATTAGTCCTTTGAGGTTTAGGAGAAGTAATGTGATTATTGGGATTTCACCGAGAGGTTTTGCGCTTTTGCTTGAGTCTCAAGGTTTTGGAAGATAACCGCTCGGCAAAAATAAAATAATCAGTACTTTTTAGAATTGAAAATACATTTTTTTTTTTCAATAAAAAATACTCCTATATTTTCACCAAGTATANAACTATAATATTCGATTATATTTTTGTTTAGGTGAATCAATTATAACAATTTTAATCGAAGGATGATTTCACTATTGGGTCTAAATTAATAAGACGTTTATGCGACTTGATTTTAGATTATTATTTAGACCGAATGTTTGTTTGTGTTGTTTGAAAATGGGATAAATCTATAATCATTATTTTCTCTGGTCCACTATGGGCACGAGTTAATATGTATACCAACTGATGTGACAGGAGATTAGAATACCATAAACGGTGTGTATAATATTCAAAAATCACGAGATCTTGACACGTGGTTGGTGAGCACATCTTAATGTGCTCATGTTGTGAACATTTTCGAATCTGCAATATATATTCTATCATTGTCGGTTTTTCATAATACTATTTAAAAAAATATATTGAAAAACAATGTATTATTCATTTTTTTTTCATGGATACCTTGTTTGTTCTCACTCATGTCGTATGATGAATATTTATTCACTGTGATGGAAAAAAGTGGTGGACATCTTGTTCATCAAAATTCTCTTTGATTTGTAAAAAGATGGTAATCAGTTAATGTTCAATCATCCATCGCTAGTGCTAGTTGAATATTATCACTCGTTTATTGACTTTCACATGGAGAGTGACTACACCACAAATGAGGAGGATGTGTGTCTTGATTTTCTTACGGGCTTGTCAATAAAAACAATTACAACTTCAAGTAACGTTGTTCGTCTGAAAAGTAAATTGTCATTATACTAGTTTCGTTTATCTGAATAATCTCATCCCAAACTACAACAGAGATTGAGAGAACGTTTAGATGGCATATGATGACGTAGATCATGCTTCCTAAGTATCCAAGAGAACACATGTGCCATTACAAAAGAAAATCAAGACACACATCCTCCTCATTTTTGGTGTAGTCACTCTCCATGTGAAAGTTAATAAACAAGTGATAATATTCAAGTAGCACTTTTGATGGATGATTGTAGACATGGCCAAAATCCAGGCCGACCCGGGTGATTGTAGACATGGCCAAAATCCGGGCCGACGGGCTGGGTTGGACAAATCCTGAATCGGCACGGCCTAGGTCCATGCCGGGTCCATGGCCCAACTTGGGTTTGGCCCGTTTTCTTAAAAAAAAGAAAAAAAAAATTCAAATCTTTGATTTTTTTCCGTGCCGGACCCGGCCCGGCCCGCCGAGTCAGTGGCGAAAAAACAGGACCCTTACATGGCCCGTCTGAAATCCGGGCAGGTCCCAGACCCGTGGTCAACGGGTTTGACCGAGCCGGGTCAGTGCCAGGTCGGCGAGCCGGGCGATCCGGTGGCCATGTCTGGATGATTGAATGTTAACTGATTACCATGCATATTTTGTACAAATCGAGGTGAATTTCGATGAACAAATTGTCCACCACTTTTTTCCATCACATTAAATAAATATTTATTGTACAACATGAGTGAGAACAAATAAGGTATCCACGGAAAAAGAAAACAAAATATATAATATATTGTTTTTCAATATATATTATAGATTCGAAAATGTTCACTTGCCCATGGGCCCATTAAGATGTGCTCGCCAATCAAGTGTCAAATTTTCGTGATTTTTGAATGCTATACACACAGTGTATGATATGTTAATCTTCCGCCACATCAGTTGGTGAACATATTAACTCGTGCCCACCGTGAACTAGAAAAGAGGATTGATTCTACATTTATTCTATTTTCAAACAACACAAACAAACATTCAGATGTTAGTCGAACTTAAATAATAATCTAAAATCAAGTCGCATAAACGTCTGATTAATTTAGATCCAATAGTGGAATCATCCTATATTCGATTAAAGTTGTTATAATAGATTCACTTAAACAAAATGTGCATTCCAATATAATAGTTTTTTTTCCTAAAATATATAAGATCATTATAGAAACATGGGTCAAACCTTTAAGATTTATTTATTTATTGTCTAGAAAGTCGTATACTTAGTGAAAATATAAGAGTTTTTATTTTTTTATTTTTTTTTGGGAACGATAGAAAATTGCATTAAGACAAAAGCCGGAACAATCGTCCAGATAGATTTTCTCTGTATTGGATATAGAAATGGATTGAAAAGTGATGTTGTCCTGAGAGATATGTAATGCGGAGTGAGATAGCAAAGAGGATGGCATCGATGATCTTAAGTTGTTCCAAGTGCCGTTGTTCTTGGTTCATCAGGATTCGGGTGTCCGATGTAATCTCGTCATTTAATAGGTTAACCTAGATCGGTACATTTTATGTATAACATGCGGCCTTACCTTGTGTTCATGGTTTAAAATTTCAAGAAATTCCACTAAACACTCCAGTCTCCAGCCCGTGTTTAAAAATTGACAAGTTCTTTCACCGTTGTTATGATCCAATTTCAGTAAAATTGAAATAAACGTTCAACCCTTGTTTAGAAATTTTTGACAACACCTCTTTGACCTTTGATATAATCCAATTTTGCGTTCGCATTGTAATAAGAATAGGCCGTACGTATTTTGCAAAGAGAATTCGTTNTTACTGTACTTGACTTTGAGGTTGGGTGAAGTCATATGGTCATCCAAATTAATTGGTCATATATCCGCAACACGCATATCAAATAAGAAATTAAAATGTACAGATATTTGATGATTTCAGACAAGCACAGCCTGAGAGAAAACACTCTACATGATCCTCTTATCATAGTTATACTAAGTAGCTGGTTCTGGATGCCATGCAGCCACCTCTCTTATAGTAACTGTGTTACTAAAATATCATAATGAAGAAACTTTCTGGCTTCCAAAACGATACAAGAGTTTGTCCTCAACACAAAAAAACTATCGCTTAGCTATTGAGAACGGGTACTCCTTATACTCCAACAAAAAGACTCTCATTGATGACAAATATTGACACATAAACCACAAATGTGGGACTTGAAGGAATCTCTAATCTACTGTGCAAATTTCCAAGAACTATACCTAACTCCATCTCCAAGAAAACAATCAAAATCCCTCTCTCCCTCTACTTCTGTCCTTCTGTT